AGGATTGTTTTGTATTTTCTATTTCATTTTATTTTACTTATCCATCCTTTTAGATCAGCAAATGTCTTTCTTGAACCTGATACGTGCAAAGTAAACATTATTGTTTGTTCATCTTCCCTCTCACTCTCCCTACTCAGGTAGACTCAGTACATCCTTTACTCTCTTTGAGTGCCATTCTCTGAACTCGCCAGGTTCTCTCTTGAGTGTGAAAGTTGATTTGGTCCTTCTGTGAGGAAAGACATCACCTGAGACCCTTCCCCCCTTCACCAGACCTTACATGCCCTAAAGATACAGTCTTAGATCAGGGTTGACAGATTTTTTTCTGTAAAGGGCGACAGAATAAATCCTTGAGATTTTGGGAACCATATGGTCTTTATCTCAACTACTCAACTCTGTCCTTGCAAACAAGAACAACCATAAACAGAATGTGAACAAATGAGCATGGATGGCTATTGTTCCAGTAAAACTTTATGATATCAAAGTTTGATGTCATGATTTTCATATGCTATGAAATATTATTCTTTTGCTTTTAAAAAAAAACCTATTTAAAAATGTAAAAGCTGTTCTTAGCTCAAAGACCAGACAAAAACAGGCAGTGGGGCTAGATTTGGCCTGTGACCCATAGATTGCTAACTTTTGCCTTAGCTGCTGGGTAATTTGCCCTGACACATGTGTTCCCCACCCAGGAGAAGAATTAGCTTGGTTCTGTCACCTGCATTCCCATAGTATGGTTTCTAGTCATTGTCATTACATTTATTATGCTGTATATTAATTATGTTTGTATGTTCTCTCTCTTACTGGACTCTGAGCTTCTTTAGAGGAGGGCTGTGGCCTAGTTAATCATCTTTGCATCTTTAGGCTCTAATACTTGATCTGACACATAGTGCATATTCAGAAAGTGTTTAATTTCAATTTTATGCTCAATAAATATAAATATAAATACTACTGTCTTAAAGAGAAGCACCTGATGGATATGCAGTAAGCTTCCCAAATTCTGCCCCTAAGGAGTCCATAGTAACTGCATTTGCTGATAGTGGATCTTATAACTCAGTGGTTATATAAAAAAAGCCTTTCCGAATTCTTTCATTTTAGAGCTCTGTCACTTTCAGACAAGAGATGGTTGGACTTTATCTTTAAATCATTTCTTCAATCATAATAAATTGTGGCCTCACTTTACTTACGAACCAGTGCTATAATCTGGGTGAAAAAATAATAAATAGTATTGTTTACATATTACATTCCAGTCTCTGATTTTTCTTTAGGCCTTTGGTAACTTTCCAAATACTATCAATTTACCTCTTTTTCTTTGTTCCCTACACCTGAAACAAAACAAAGCAACAACACCATGTTTTTCCTCCATACTATCTATTGTAAGAATGATAATATCATCTATTCAGTCCTTCAAGGCAAATCTAAATTCTTCTATCTGTGGCGGGGTAGTTCAGTTTGTTAGTGTGTCATGCCGATACACCAAGGTTGAGGGTTGGATCCCCAGTCAGAGAACATACAAGAATCAACCAGTGAATGCATAAATAAGTTGAACAACATATCAGTGTTTCTCTCCCCCTCTCCCTCTTCCTCTCTCTGTCTAAAATCAACCAATAAAAAAAATTTAAAAAAACAAAAAACAAATCTGAATTCATCTATACTTCTTTCCCTTCTTCCCCCCGCATCTAATCAGCCACTAATTCTTATAAATTGCTTTTTAAAAAAGCCTATGGAGACCTGACTGGCATGGCTCAGTGGGTTGGGCATCATCCTGCAAACCAAAAGGTCACCGGTTCAATTCCTGCTCAGAGCACATGCCTGTGTTGCTGACCAGGTCCTCGGTTGGGGGTGGGCAAGAGGCAACCAATCAATGCTTCTCTCCCTCTCTTTCTCCCTCCCTTCCCCTCACGCTAAAAATAAATAAATAAAATACTTTTTTAAAAAATCTATGGAGATTTTTTTCTTTCTATCTCTATCTCTTTTGCTCTAGTTGGAACTTTAATCATTTCTCAACCTTCCAATATACATTTAAACATCTTTACATTTTTTTCTGACCCTGATTGTCCCACCTTTCAGTGGATTCTTCCCATAAGTACTAGCATTGAATGCTGATAATGATATTCTGATCATATCACTCTTGTACTTAAAACCCTTTTCTCATTACCCAACATTTTCAAAATAAATCCAACTTCCCAATCATGACATTCAAGACCTTATTTGTGACTCCAGTGCTTAGCACAGATGCATTTCAGAATTCAGAAAGTTTTGGATTTTAGAAAAGTCATGTTATGTACATAACACATTATATAATATCTTCTATTGGTTCTGGATCAACATTCTGTAATCAAACACATTAACATTCCCCCATCAAAGAGCATGATTGTTTATACCATGTAGGAAAAACGGCTATACACAGATTTTTATAAGTTCAAGTCATGTTTTGCTGCTAAACAAGTTACAGGAATATGCTTAATTTTTAGAGCCTTTTGGGTTTCAGAATTTGGGATAAGAAAGTTTGGCCCTGTAAATACCCAGTGGTCTGCTGGAGCTGGCTTGCCCCGGCTACCGAAAGCTCATTTTGCACGTTTCTTCCCAACTCCGCAGTTGATGACTTCATGTTGGTAGCTTGATATCAGCTATGGTAGGAGTTTTTGCACCATGGACATCAGTAAATGCAACAAATCCAGGCCTTTTCTTCCCTGGAGAGCAGGATGTTAAACGTTACCCGCATAGCACTATAAGTACGTATTATGTGTGTAGTACATCTGTATGTTTTTACCATTGTGGCAAACCAACTTACTCACCCTAAGCAGGACAAAAGACCAAAGTTTTTAGGGAGGCATAAAATGAAAAAATAAGATAATCAATATGATGGCAATAGAGAAACTGTGAAAAAAATGGAAACTTTGGAGACAGACATGGGATCAAATTCTAACTTCGTTATTTCCAGATTGTGTAATCCTGGGTTCACTTACCTTCTCAGGGTCTCAGTTTACACATTTGAAAAATGGGAACTTATCATTATCTTTCTCTTAAAGTTGTTTTAAGGACTAAATGAGATATCATATGAAAAGTGTCTAACATAGAATGAATAGAAAATGTTACTCTTTGTTTTACTACAAACTTTCTAAAAAAATTCTACAGATGTTTATCTCTGCAGACATGGCTCTCATTCTCTAACATTCCTAATGCACCCACAGTAAATACCATGCAGTTTACACCTGGATATTCTCTAGTTATTTCATCTTGTGTCAATTGTTCTCCTAAAGACATGATCCTTGACATCTCTTGAGCATTTTGTATAAACTAAATTTGTAGGGTTTTTATTCTATGAAAAGTTCTTATTTATTTAATAAACATTTTTTGAGTATCTATTTTATGTTCATGTGCTGGGTGCTGTTGATAGTGAAATTAATCAGACATAGACCCTCCTTGTATTCTGGCGAATGATACGCTGTTGAGCCTGAAAGCCAACTATTTACATGCAGGGGAAATTAGGAGGCTTTGTAGTAATCTAGGTGAGAAATGGTGGAGGTATGAATGAAAATAGTAGCAGTAGGAATGGAGTTCTACTCAAAGTCTATTGAACTGGACTTAGCTTCTCCCTGTTCCAACTCAGATCTTGGCTTTGCCTCAGGGATACGTGGTGTGTCATTTATCAAGATAAGATGTACATGAAGAGAGGAGTAGATTTCGAACAGAAGATGAAAGGTCCAGTTTTGGACCATCTTAGTTTTGTGGTGTGTGTAAAGTATATGAATAGCATGACCATATAATTATTATACAAACTTGAACATTTATGAGAGTGACTGAGATGTGCTATATTAATAATTAAGCTGGGGCAATAGGTATAAACTGGACCTGCCCTAGACAAACCAGGATGTTCTTTATGCAGGTAAAGAAAGTGAAGCAAAGATTATTAGAGATGAAGCCATCCAAGGAAAATGTGTAGCGTGAAGAGAGCAGTGTGTTAAATCCTGGATAAATTTTTAAAAGAAAAAAGAATGAGGCTATTGAAACAGGAAGGAAACCTGGAGCTAGTGGCCTCACAGAATCCCAGGGAAGAATAATTTCATTTTCTCTTGTCTATTGTTTTAGGCAGGGAGCCCTTTTGAGGAATTTCCTCATCAGATAGTGATAATCTGCAGTAAGAGTTCGCATACTTGAAGAAAAGGGGTCTTTACCTTAATTAAAACACTTAGTTTGAATTAATTATGTATTATGATATAAAACACCCTTAAGCACTTCTGCTTTGCAGTCAATTGGCCAAAATCTACTAATTCAGAACCAGTTTTTATCTACATGTCATTTCATGTTATATTTTTCCTAAATTGTGTTAGTCAAATATATTAAATATAATCACTACAAGCTTAAAGTAGATTTCTAGGTTAAGAGATAGAGTATGTTTATTCTGTAATATTGAAAGTCATAAAGATTACTTATTCCTTAGAAAATAGAGTTCTTCAGGAAGTCAAAAGAAATATAGAACAAATGAATATTTTACATTCTTAATGGATTATGGCTGGCTGTTTTTCCTTCAATATTTTATTATGAAAATTTTCAAATTTACAAAGAGGAAAAATTACACCCACTATCTTATACAATTAAGATTTTGCTATATTTGCTCTATCACATATTTGTTCATGTAGTCATTCATCTGTCCATCTTATTTATTTTTGGTGCATTTCAAGTAAGTTGACTAGCTATTTTTCTAAGCAGTTGTATTTTTTTTTTGAACATTATAATTGAAATGTTAAAACATTTCATACAGATGGTATCAGCTGACCCTTTTTTCCATTTTTAGAAATCTGAGGTTGCCAATAACTACTGTCAAATTTACAACATTAAAAAATGGTAAATAATCCTAAGCTTGATCAGTGCCTTCGTTCTCAATAGCTTTATAATTGAGACACTTACAACTTTTAAAGTTATCAAAAATAATTTTCAGTGGTCTTTTAACATTAGTTTTTGGTATTCTAAATAAATATTTATTCATATTATAATGTTTTCAGAGTGGAGAGATCAACAGACCAAGTCATCAAGCCAGTCAATATGGGAGCGCTATCAAAGTGGGTTGGAAAAATACCCCCAGATGTTTTACAAGACATGGCAGTGATTGCACCCATGCTTGCCAAACTTGGATATGACCCATATGCCAATCCACCTAACTACGGAAAACCCGATCCCAAAATCCTTGAAAACACTAGAAGGGTAAGTGATATTTATAAAGTGAACTGAGAAAACTGAATATGAAATTTGGATCCTGAAAGGCTTCTTGTTTATTTTTTAAATTTTGTTTCTTTGTTTTTATGATCAGAAAATTATTTAAAATTAGAAAAACTCTATTTGTAGAATTCTTTATCATCATATCTCTTCCACTGCATTTTAAGGAAAGCTGTGGCTCTTCCCAGGAAATATGGGGACCATTTTTTAAATATATTTTGCACAATTTTTAGGAATGGTGCTTATTGTTGAGGATATTTATACTCATAGCTGATTTACCACACATTGTATAAATACCAGAACTATTAGCAAACTCACTTACCTCTATTTTTTTTTCTTTGAATCTAAGACTACTTTACATTTAAATCTTTCTTTAGAGGAGGCATGATTTCTTGATACTTGAAAACTAAACATTGGCTACATTAGAATCATTAAACAGTTGCAATAAATTATCTTCTGGTTGAGAAAAAGTTGTTATTAAAGTGTAATTATAGCTTTTCTTTTTAATAAGTTACACTCACATCTTTATGAAATATTGTCTCAGAAAATCTGAAAACTCAAAGAGCTAATCTGAAGTATACCTTACCAGATGAATCTACTTCAGATCAAGCCTTAATGTATTTATTCTTTTAATTTATTTATTTTGTAAAGTACATTTTATTGTTTATGCTGTTACAGTTGTCCCATTTTTTTCACCCCTTTATCCTTCTCTGCCCTGTGCCTTCCTCCGTCCAACATTCCCTCCTCCCCTTAGTTCCTGTCCATGGGTTGTACATATAAGTTCTTTGGCTTCTCCATTTCCTATAGTATTCTTAGCCTCCCTCTGTCTATATTGTGCCTACTAATTATGCTTCCTGTTCCCTGTACCTTTTTCCCCCATTCTCTCCGCTCGTACCCCAATAATCCTCCATATGATCTCCATTTCTGTGATTTGTTCCTGTTCTAGTTGTTTGCTTAATTTTTGTTTTTGTTTTTTAGGTTCAGTTGATAGTTATGAGTTTGTTGTCATTTTACTTTCATAGTTTTGATCTTCTTTCTCTTAGATAAGTCCCTGCAACATTTTATATAATACGGCCTTGGTGGTGATGAACTCCTTTAACTTTACCTTATCTGGGAAGCACTTTATGATAGCTTTGCTGGATAATCTTGGTGGAAGGTCCTTGGCTTTCATGACTTTGAATACTTCTTTCCAGCCCCTTCTTGCCTGTAAGGTTTCTTTTGAGAAATCAGCTGATAATCTTATGGGGACTCCTTTCTGGGTAACTTTCTCCTTTTCTCTTGCTGCTTTTAAGATTATCTCCTTATCTTTAATCTTGGGTAATTGAATGATGATGTGTCTTGGTGTGTTTCTTCTTGGATCCAACTTCTTTGGGACTCTCTGAGCTTCCTGGACTTGCATGTCTAGTTCCTTCACCAGATTAGGGAAGCTTTCCTTCATTATTTGTTCAAATAAATTTTCAATTTCTTCCTCTTCCTCTTCTTCTGGCACCCCTATGATTTGGATGTTGGAATGTTTAAAGTTGTCCCAGAGATCCCTCAGCTTTTCCTCATTTTTTGGAATTCTTGTTTCTTCATTCTGTTCTGGTTGGCTGTTTATTTCTCCCTTTTGTTTCAAATAATTGATTTGAGTCCCAGTTTCCTCCCCCTCACTGTTGGTTCCCTGTATATTTTTCTTTATTTCACTTTGTATAGCCTTCATTTCTTCCTCTATTTTGTGACCATGCTCAATGATTTCTCTGAGCATCCTCCATCACCAGTGTTTTGAACTCTGCATCTGATGGGTTGGCTATCTCCATTTTACTTAGTTCTTTTTCTGGAGTTTTGATGTGTTCTTTCATTTGGGCCAAGTTTTTTTGTCTTGGCACACCTGTTATATTGTAAGGGACAGAGCCATAGGTATACTCAGTGGCAGGGGGCAACCCGCTTCGCTGCATTGTGGCGCTGTGTATAGGGGAGCAGTCAGAGAGGGGACAATGCCACTTGCTAGCTTCCTCGGCTCTCACCTCACTTTCTGTCACTTCCCCCACTTCCACAAGTGGACTGTGCCATTTTCAGGTGTTGAAACCTGGGTGGGAGGGCTTGCATACATTCTAGGATTCCATAGTCCTCTCCAACAGACTTTCCTGTGAGACTGGGAGTTTCTCCCACCACCGGAATCCCTACAGATTTTTTCAGCTAGAGGTTTTGAGGTTTTAGTTCCCCATTCTGGAACCCTGGGTTGCGTGTTTTATCTCGCTCCCCAGTTGTCCCTCCCAGCTTATCCACACGCAAATGTGGGCCCATCCTGTCCACCAGCCACTGCCTTGTCGTGCATCCTTTCTACCTCAGCTTCCCATCTCCACCTCTCCTACTAGTCTGGATGAATGTTTCTTCTTTAATTCCTTGGTTGTTGGACTTCTATACAGATTTGATTTTCTGGCAGTTCTGGTTGTTTTTTGTTTTTAAATTTGTTGTTATCCTTCTTTTGGTTGTGCAAGGAAGTGAAGCATATCTACTTACGCCTCCATCTTGGCCAGAACTCTGAATCAGTCCCTGTATTTATTCTTTTAAAAAAGTATTGTAAAATACACATAATGAAAGGGTTTGCAGACCAAATTCCAACTTGTGTGTGGAGGCTTCCCCACATCACCAACTGATTCTCAGACACCGAAAGGGTGTCCAAAAATGCAACTTAATTCTGGAACCATCTATCCAGAGATAGAATCAGATTCCACAGGTAAAGGGCTCATTCCCACAAGACCACTCTCCACTTTAGATACCAGTTGCAGGCCCAGGTTGTTTTGAACAACTACAAATCAAAGGTTCCCATGACCCCCACCCCTTGGGTTTGATTAATTTGCTAGAAGCATTCAGAAAACTCAAGAAAACCTATTTACTCACTTAGATTATGGATTTATTACTAACATTAAAGGATAGGAATGAATAGGCAGATGAAGAGTGCATAGGTCAGGGTCCTGAATAAAGCAGTTTCTATCCTCATGGAGCTGAGGTCCAGCACATGGTAGTGTTCTGTGGTTCCCCTTGGTGGAAGCTCTCCCAAAAGGGCCTAAGAGCTGTCCTTTTGAGTTTTTATGGAGGCTCCATTACATAGTCATGATTGACTAAGTCTTTGGCCACTGGCAATTGATTCAAACTCAAGCCCTTCTCCCCTCCCTGGAAATTGGGGTAGGACTGAAAGTTCCAAACCTCAGACCACATGGGCGGGTCCCATTGGCACTCAGCCCGTACCCTTGGGTTGTGTCCAGAAGTCACCTCATTAACATGACAAGAGACACCATTGTTGCTCTCATCACTTAGGAAATTCCCTGGAATTGGGGAGCTGTGAGCCAGGAACTATGAATGAAGACCAAATATATCTGAGAAATATACTTTGGTCATCTGAATGACCAAATCTATATATTTCTTATAAATCACAATATTGTACATAACATAAAACTTACCATTTAACACTTTATAAGTGTACAGATCAATGGCATTAAGGACATTTGCACTATTTTGCAACTGTCACCACCATCTGTCTCCAGAACTTTTTTCATCTTTCCACACTGAAACTACATAGTCATTACTCATTCTTCCTCCCTTCAGCCCCAAGTAACCACAATCCTACTTTCTGTCTCTAGATGTATTCTTTTTTAAAACTGTTACTGAACAACAAGTTTGGTTCTACTGCCCGTTGCCCAATAGGCAAACTCTGGGGGCAAAGGTTTTGGTGAAAAAGGAGAGGGGTCATTTATTCAAAGTCTACACAATTTTGAAAGAATTGCAGGCGTCTGCCTCGGAGCCCATTCCCTCTAAAACACCCAAAGACTAATAACCCGGCCAACGTTTGCCACATTAGTTCAGAGCTGCACCTGGACTTCCTTCTCCCATTTCAAATACTGTCTTTTGGGAAATACTGATGACTACAGCACAACCATCCAGGAGACTTAGCTGGTTTCCAGCCACAGCCCAGCTTCAGGCATCTTATGGAGTCTGTGCATGCTGGCGTCCTATTTGCTGTGCACTGTCCTTTCCTCTGCACTTGCCCACAGATCTAGCACTTGCACCCCATCCCTTCTGCCCTCAGCTCGCCATTGTGGCCATGCACGTGGCTGAGCAGGACTGCACAGTGCAACACTAGTCACCTGGGCCACCACCACTTCTCATGCTGGGAGGGGCCCAGGGTCACTGCGAGACCACATGGTCTCCAGGGCCCACTGGCCCCAGAATGCTTGGACTGCCAACTGAACAAGCGAGGGGAACCAGAAGGGAAAAGAAGACAAGACTCTGCCTACCTTTCATTTAAATTCCCCAGCCCAAAATCCTACATGCTCCAGAAGCAAGTCGGTTTTCTAGCCCATCCTGGCTGGACTGGCAGATCTGTACCCCCCCCGAATGCCATGACAAACTGCACGGTACATGTGCTGCTGTGACCTCTCCAGCTCATGCACACTCTTTGCAAGCTTCCTCCTGCTGTGTCTCCAGTGGAGCTACATTGTTTACCTGTCCGCAGGGGTATGGAAATCTATCATGCTCCAGCTTCAGCTTCAAATCTGCTGCCTCTGGCACTTCCTGACGCCTCTCTTCTCTAGGGCCTGTGCAGGGTATTGTACCACCTTGGGGGTCCCTCCCTGCTCCCCCACGATCTCACCAGATCCCCATAACAAAACTACAATTTAAACAAAAAAAACTATGTTAGCATAAGTTCACTGATCAGTTATTTGATTTCAAGATTAAAATTTCTTACCTTTCTCCGGCGTTCTCATTTGTCAGCGATCTCCCCTTCCCACAACTGTATAATTATCCAAGCCTTCCTTCTTAATATTTACGAGCATTATCTTATTCTGCATGTTTTTTAAACATAAATGTTCAGGATTATGTAATATATTATTACATTAGTCACCTTAAGTCTCAGTGAATGAATAAATGAGCAAATAAAATGTTTCCCTATTATATGTTCTATAACTCATTTTACCAGTTTTCTTTTTTTGGGGGGGGAATGTTTCTTC